ATTTATTTATTTAGCCACTCTGTAGTTCTGACTACCCTTGAACTCACAGAGATCTACCTGCCTCTGCCTTCTCCTGAATGCTGGGATTAAAGGTGTGTGCCACCAAACCCAGCTAGATTTCTTTTTAAAATGTGTCTCTCCCTTCAACCTATTTAATCTTTTCCCACTCTCCAAGCCCTAGGTTATCTTCATCTCTGTGATGGTTTCACACAAGCTCTAAAATTAGGGTAAGCAAGTGGAAAGGGATTCTGGGCTAGTCTAGGTGGGCCGAGCAAAGAGGTAAGCTCTTAATAAGGACTCTGATGAAGCCTCCATTAATCAAGCATCTCTCGGGCCCTAAGCACTGAGCTAAGTGCTTCCCAGAGAGTGTGGATCTTGATCTTTGCAACAAGCAGCTTCTCAAGTAGGGAGGGTATTATTAGCCCCACTGGAGACATGAGAAAAGCAGTCCAGGGGAAGCTAAGTGACAGGCAAGGCACTGAGTGGTAGGTTCACGCTGACACTGAACATGCTTCCTCCTTCAAGAACTACCAGAGGTACATACAGTTCTAATGTAACACCCCAGACATGTTACCTGCTTTAGGCCCTGCTGCCCAGGTCCCTTTCTAGGCCCACCAACAAAGCCTTGCATCCTAATTTTCTGTATCCTAGACAAATTTGGGGGTCTATGTTCCCTGCTGTCATTCATACATTTTTATCCCACGTGTCAGTCATGTGAGTGACTTCATGTCACCTCAGGTAGTCTATTGTACCACAGGACCATGTGGACACCACACACTCAGAAGTCAGAAGATGAAGGCACACACCTGGCCCCACCCCCACAGTACCCAGGTGTCTATGGTTCATACACAGCTCAACACTCATGACCCTGTGAGAGGTGCAGAGCCCGTGAATATTTCATGTCAGGAGCTGGCGGCGGCTGCGGCTGCTCACACCATGCCCAAGCTTCCCTTTCACAGGCTCCTTGTTTATTTGTTTAATGAATTATTTATCCAGCCCCCTCCCCTCCCAGTCTTCCCTTCCCCCAGGCCCTAGCCTCCATGATTTATTGAAGTAAATTCAGCTCTGTGGTTGCTACCCTATGTCCTGGGAGTTGCCTTGGGCTACACAGCCTGAGTGCTCCATGTGCCCCAGACCTGCTCAGCTTCCGGGCTCCTTGGACCCCAGGGATGGAGAGAATGGAGCACCTTGTCAGAATTTTCTGGGTGTCTGGGTTCAGCGCTCCTAGGGAGATCATGGCAGCCAGCCCAAGGCCAGTGGGACTAGAAGGCAAAGCCTCCATGTGAGAGCAGCCTGAAGCCCAGAGAGAGGACCAGACCCATGGAGAAAACTCCAGCTTCACCAATAGCAGATCAGAGTCAGGCTTGATGTTTCTGGGTTTTACACTTAAGTCTTTGGCCTGCTGTGGTAGAGGAAACCAAGGAACTGATTTTCTTAGTCTCAGGCATCTTAATCATCATTATTATCACTTTGAGACAAGGTCTCATTTAGCCTAGGCTGGCCTCAAATGAATTTTGTAGCTGAGGATGACCTTGAACTTATGAAATAAATAGTTTGGTTTGTTTGTTTGAAACAGGGGTCTTACTATATAGCCATTGGCTGTCCTAGGACTCCCTATGAAGACAAGACTAGCACTGAATATACAGAGATCCACTGACTTCTGCCTCCTGAGTTCTGGGATTGAAGACATATACTAAAATTTTACATGTGGGTGTTTTATCTACATGTATGTCTGCACCAAGTGTATACCTGGTCCCTGAAGAGGCCAAAGAGGGAGTAGGATCTCATGGAACTGGAATCAGAGGTGGTTACAAGCTGCCATATGGGTACTGAAAATTGAACCCAGGTCCTTTGTGAGGGTAAAAGTATTCTTAACTGCTGAGCCATCTCTTAAACAGAATGAAACAGAGGGGAACTGAGGATACAGCCTCTGTAGCAGGGTGAGTATTGCCTTGAGAATCTCTCTGCTGCTACTCCATGCTATCTACATCCAGCAGTGCTGTAGGTGTGGTACGCACATGCATGCTGGATGGCAGTGCCAAACAGATAATCCATTCCTATTTTGGGTCAGTCAAGAATGATTGGAGTCTCCAATACAAACAAAGGCCTACTCCCCACTGATGGAGGACTTCTTCTGAGCAGATGCCACAGGCCCTAGGCATAACAGCAGCTCAGAGCTCATATACAGACACATAGTCCTTCAAGAATCCCAGTCCCAGTCAGGCTTAGTGGCACATGCCTTAAATCACAGCACTGGAGGAATTGGTGAGTGAGTGAGGCTAGCCTACTCTACCTAGTAAGTTCAGCTAGGGATACAAAGAGAGACCCTGTCTCAAGTAAATAAATAAACAAGCAAATGAAAATAACTAGACCATCAGTTCCCTGTGCTTTTGAACAGCACTTTAGCTGCAGGTGCATACACCTCACATTCTGTGACAGAACTGCCACACACAGCCATAAAGTTCGTACTTGGTACAAAAAACTACACAAAGGGCAGAAGATGAGGCTGACATTAGCTCATGCTCCCCACTAGATGGGGAGGTACATAGCCCATTTCCTACCAAAGGAAGCTGCTCCTTTGCTTTTGCACCAAGGTACCACTTGCCAAGGGGTGCTTTTTGTGATTCACATAAAAGCCCAAATCAGCCAGCAGCTTATGCATAGACAGAAGCTTGGGTACTAGAGGACCAGATCCCATGGACACAGAGCCCACAGAGTGTCTGAATTTGAAAGTCAAATTTTGGTCAGTGAGAGAAAAATGATCTTAAACTCAGGCTTAAACAGAGAAGGCCCCTGGTTCACAGGAAAAGGCTCCCTTTTTTCTGTTAATTCTTAATTATGTAGGTGTGGGATTCCAAAAGAGGGTATCATTCACTGGGACTAGAATTATAGGCATTTGTGAACCATCTGATGTGGGTGCTGGGAATCAAACATGGATCCTCTGGAAGAGTAACAGGCTCTCAACCTCAGAGCCACCTCTGCCACTATGAAGTTTTATGATTTGTTGGAGGGAGAAGGTGGGGTGGTACAGAGAAACATCTGGGCTCTGGAGTATGGGGCTCAAATCACCCACATCTTTAAATAAAAGCCAGGCTTTACTATTCATTCAATTTTACCGTAATAGAGATTGAACCTAGAGTCATATATACATGGTCTACTAATAAGTACATTCCCGGCTTGGAATGCAAGTTCTAAAACTAGGAATCTAAGTTTTCGAAAATGGAATTCAAAGTCCTGGATTAGTCCAGCCAGCCTGTACTTCCTGTGCACATGGATGGCTCTCTGGCTACTCTCTCCACAGAGAGAAGCTTATCTCTGTGGACTAGAGGCGTGGCATGGAGGGGCAGGGGCTAGAACTTGTTGTCTCTGGGGGATGCAGGTTAGCATTATTGGGGTGAAGTAAACCTCTTTGGGAATGAAGAAAGCTGTTTGCAGAGTCCCTCACTCCCATCCCAAGGGCCTCATTTATTTTCTGGCTCCCAAGAAGAGAGAAGATATCTCCTGGGAAAGGAGAGCACCCACTCTTGCCTAGTAGCAGGGAGGTGTAGAGCCTACTGTGCCTGCAATGCCCCTCCTCCAAACTTAACACCCAAGGCAGGCTTGTGGTCATGGCCTTGTACTGCCAAAGGTAAACAGATGGAGAGTGCAGATATCTGTCCTGCCTCCTGAAGCACAACAAAGTAGCATCATGCCTGCCTCCCTGGGCACTGCTGCTATGGGCCCTGAGAATCCAGTCAGGCCTGGTTCTGCTTTGCCTTTTGGTATGGGCTTCTAGGAAAGAGAAGAGATAAGGGCTGAATGCCTTCTAGGTCTGGATTCTGGACCCTTTTTGAGAGGGGTAGGCCAGTTTTCTAGGGAGAAGAGCGTGTGTGTGTGTGTGTGTGTGTGTGTGTGTGTGTGTGTGTGTACTTTGAAGTTTCTGTATATCTGTAGGCTTATGTTTCTACCAGTCTCTTCTCTAGTTATGGTAGCACCTTGTGTGTTTATGTTGGCCTGGGTGTTGAGTAAGTGTCCATGTTTCTATGTTCCCTGCTTCTTTGTGCTATGTCTGTGCTTGGGTGTCCCCACGAAGACAATGGCCATGGTGAGTGCTGGAACACAAGGTGCTCTCTGTCCTTAGAGAAAGCAGGGCCGGGAGCAGGACCGGGCACACCTGAGGACATCGTTGAGGGAATTGGAGGCAGTGAGGGGCCCTTTGTAGGCCTGCCAAGAAGACCACTCCATTCCTGCTGGGCTCCAACTGGCTTCTACTTTGTCCCATCAACACTACCAACAAACACCTTTGCCCTGGATTACCAAAGTAGGCCATTTTTGTTTTGTTTTGTTTTTGAGACAGAGTCTCACTATGTAGCCCTATACAGATCTGTGCAGCTGGCTTCGAACTCACAGAGACTCTCTCTGCCTCCAGAATGCCAGGATTAAAGAGTGAGTTGCTGTGCCCAGCCCCCCAGAAGATAACATTCTTTGGGCTGGGCTTCTCTGTCTTGGCTCCAAGAAAAACAAACCCTCATGCTTAGCTGAGGGCCTTCAGGCAGTCAGCTCTTAGCTCTCGGGTACCACCTGAGAGCTTCCCCATCATGTGTCCATTTAACTCCTCGCGCACATGGGAAGGGCGTGGAAGAAGTAGAGGTCCAACTTCGTTCAGATATGGGTCTAGTCCTGCTTATTCAGAGGTAGATCCTCACTCCTCAACACTCCTACTCTCCATGCAGAAAGGTGTGGATCTACACAAGATGTATATCCTGGTTTGGCTCCCAGATCTTTCTGGGAACTCCAGCCTGGGGGGAGCAAAAGACGCAAGCCGTTGCAGCAAATCACCTAGGAGAGAGGAGAGGTACCTTGTTCCTAGAGGGGCAACACAGTTCCCTTCGCCCACGCGCGGCGCGCTCTAGGCTCAAGTGGGGCGGAGCCCGGCGTGAGCGCGCCAGGGGCGGGACCTCGGGGGCGCGCCCAGAAGGGCGGGGGGAAGGATTGTGGGCGTGGCTAAGGTTGGGGGCTGGCAGCCGCGGCAGCAGGGAGCTGGGAAGCTGAGAAGCCGGGAGCGCGGGGCTCAGTCGGGGGGCGGCGGCGGCGGCGGCTCCGGGGATGGCGGCGGCTCCGCTGCTGCTGCTGCTGCTGCTCGTGCCCGTGCCGCTGCTGCCGCTGCTGGCCCAGGGACCTGGGGGCGCGCTGGGAAACCGGCATGCGGTATATTGGAACAGCTCCAACCAGCAGTGAGTCGGGGACCCGGAGAGCCAGTGCGTCCCGCGTCAGTGATGGGGGAGCTGGTGGGCCCTAGAAGTCCTAGGGGAACCTGGCGGCAGTCCTGGGAGACAGGCTCGGTGCTGAGAGGCGAGGGAGAGGGGACGCACTGCGTGGGCGTCTGTGAAACTAGGGGGTGTCTGAGAGAAGCTGTTGGGGCATAGTGAGGAGCGCGCGGAGGAGGCTGCTGGGGGGCCCCAACCCCATCTTGGTTTCTTTCCACACTCGCCTCTGGAATAGTGTTCCCTGTCCCATAGTCCCCCCCACCATTCACACTGCTTTTGGCTAGGTTGAAGTCTGGGGTGCCGGTGTGCTGGGGATAGGCCGCTGCGTTTGGGAGCCTAAGGATGACCTGTTTTCAGCCTATAAACGTTGATGGGGTTTTGCCTAAGACTATTGCTTTTAAAAGTGGGGTTCGGCATTAAGGCAGGAAGTCCGACTCGCCACCTCCCCAGAACGAAGGGGAATGGGGTTGCTCTGGTTGGTGGATAAACCCTGCTGGGATGAGCCGGGGCAGGGTCGCGGAGTTGGGGGGCCCTGGGAACGGAGGGTACTAGTGAGAAGGAAGGCAGAGATGTCGGCGTGTCACACACACACACACACACACGCCGAACGGCACCGAGTGTGAACGGGCGTGCGCGGCTGTCAGTGTGCGTGTGTCTGTGTGTGATTTGTGTGTCTGCGTCGGCGACCGTCTAGGGGTGGGAGCGGGCGGCGGGTCGGGGAGGGGGCTGCGGTCGGTGTCCGCGTGGCCAGTCTTGTCTGGGCTGGGGTGGCTATTGGCGCCGCCGCGGTCTGGGCGGGTGTCAGGGCGGCCGTGTGGTTTCCTCCGGTGTGTGGCGCGGCGGCCCGGTGCCGGCTGCGGGACCAGGCTATCGTTCTGCTCAGTCCTTGCTGCCCTTGTCTTCTCCCTGTCGAGCTGTCGTGTGTATCACTCTGGCCACCTCTGTGTGTTGGTAGGGGGATCCCTGGGGACACGGGTATCACTGTCACACCTGCCCGGGCGGTGGCGGCAGCTTTGCTTCTGACTCCCCGCCCCGGGGGCCGACTAGGGAACAAATGGTGAGACCCCAGGGGAGGGGACCCGAAGGGCCTCGACCACGACCCCCAACCTTCCGGGGGAGGGGCTCCTGCTTGCTGCTCTGCTCTTTGTTGTTTGGGGCTCTGCGCCTCCCCCTCTCCCTCCTCGCGCCCAGAGTGTCAGACTGGGGGTGGGGATGAGCTAATGACGCCCCCCTTTTGCTTCCCATGGAAACCTCGGGGGTGGGGTTGCAGCCCCTCCCCCCCGGAGCGGGACTCCAACCTTCCCGGGGGGCGCTGAGGACTCACTACCCTGCTTTGCTATATCTAGCCCACCCCCCGCTCTGAGATTCACACGCCCGACCCCCGCCCCGCTACAGTCTGGCACGAGCCGCGAGCTCGCAGGTGAGAGACCCCGGGTTCCCCGCCACCCTTGGGGAACTCCTTTGGCCGTAGATGCCAGAGCCCAGTGGGTGTGGGAATAGCCTTGAGGGGAGCGTTGATCAGGCTCCCCTCCCCCGCATACACCTGGGCGCAGGTGAAAGCTCCGGAACGGGATGGGGAGCCGGGTTCCCAGAACCTCCTTTCGCCCTCTCCACTCCCGTGCGGGCAGGGACCGGCGGAGGTAGGAGGCGGCGCACACTCGGCCAGGAGGCCGCTGCCGCCCCCGCCCCGCTTCCCGGGCCTTTGTTGCCGCTGCGCCCGGGCTCCCCGGCTCTCACTGCGGCATCCGCGGCCCCATAAATCGTGAGAGCGACGTGCTCCAGAGCCGGGAGTGGAGAGGGCCGGGGAGCTGGGGGCGGGGCCGGGCCGAGCCACAGGCTCCCAGGCCCCCCTTCCTCCAGTCACGTGATCTAGACTCCTGGCTCCCCCCTCCCGTCACGTGCAGAGGGTCTCTGCCCCTTGGGGTCACGTGGGGGAGGGTCTGCGACCCCGCCTCTTGGGGTCACGTGGGAGGGTGCTGGTGGGACACGTGCAGTAACCTCTTTTTGACAGACCTGCAGTAGCCTCGGTTGACGGACCTGGGGCGGGTGGCTCGGTCCTGGGTACCTAGCCTCCTCCACCCCTTCCCCCACTCAGCCCCTTGAGTTATCCCTGGGAACAGGCGAGACCTTTACCTAACCTGGCCCAGAAACTAGGACGCGGCGGGGGAGTGATGAGAGTGTGGAGTCGGGGGTCTCCTGAGCCGGGTACTGAATGGGGCGGAGCTGAGGGCCAAGCATGTATGCCCCCCTTGCCAGCGTCTCATTTCTTTGAACTAAACGAAGGTGTTGGTACTCGCCTCAAGAGCATCTCTCTCGTGATCTCCCTACCTATCTTGGAAACAGTGTTGTTGCTGATCGCTTTCATTCACACATTCATTCAACAAATACTTATTGAGATCTCTACTACGTCCGTGGTGGTCTGTTTTCGTCCGGTCGCCAATGTGTCCCGACTTCTCTTCTTTTCCACCTGGTCGTCTTCTCTGCCATGGGCGCCTCTGGATCGGATGCTGAGTCTTGCCGTTTTCCAGGTCTTCCTTGGTTCTCATGCCTTTCCTCCCTCTCCCGGTTTCTGGCTTTCCCTGTTTCGCTGTGGCTCCCTCCCTTTCGCCTCTCGGGCGAATCCGTCTGTGCGTTCGCCTCCCCTCTGTGTATGGCAGAGTCTTTCCATCTCGGTGTGTCTCGCTTTCGGCGGGCCCTCGCTCTTCTCCGCCGCTGCAGATCAATAAACCTTCGCCGCCGCTACTGTCGCTACTGACGCAGGGTCGAGGGGCGGGGGTGACCGGCGCGCTGCTTCTCCACCAGACCGGAGCTGGCGGGGCGCGGGGGTGTCAGTGTGCACGCGCCGCCCTAGGAGCGTTCCCGCCGCGCTGCCCACCCCCACCCCTCAGCCCCGGCGCGCGGTCTCCACGCCGCGCACACGTGGTTGGACCTCGCCTGCTGGAACGGGCGGCGCGCAGCCTCGGGGGCGCGCACTACAGGGGAAGAACCTAGTCTCTGCATTTTTTTTCTCTACTCCCTTAACTCTGCATCTTGCCTTCTAAAGCCGAGGATAAAGGTTTAACAAGTTCAGGATCTCTTGGGAGCCTTCCCCTTCTCCCAGGTCTTGTTAGACACCCTGTTTACCTGCCCCTAATTGCCCCAGGGGGAGACGTTTGCTCCTTCCCCGCTCCCCCACCTCCTGTCCTGTCCCCTGCAGACACTGAAGGCTGAGTTCCACAGGAGCCGGGGCGGGCGCTGTAAAAGTGAGACGATTTAGGATGCATCCACTGGCAGGTGTTACAGGCGGGAAGGACGAAGTAACCGGGTTAGGGGGTCAGCCCTGTAGAAGACCTTTCTGTCAGAGAAGTGGGGAGGCAACAAGGGAATAAAAGTGGAGGGAAGAATGGAGAACTCCCTGAAGGAGCAGAGCACAGCCCAGTCCCCAGATGCTAGCCCACCCTCTGCGGAACAAAGGGGGGGGGGTAAGCCTGGAGGCGGGGTTAGCTGTGAAGCTCTGGTGGGGCCTGTGTGCACCTCCCCTCCACTGCTGGGCTAAGTAGGATGACAGATTCAATTAAAGAGGTTGTGCCTAACAGACAAGTCGGGTCTCCTAGGAATTATGGTTTGGGATTCCTGGCACCTAGCCTTCTGCTCTCTATCCACCAGACACCAATGGACACTTGCCGTCAGGTTTTGACCCACATGACCAGATTGGGGGGGGGCATTTCTGAGGCTTTTCTGCTACTAATCACAGGGATAGGTAAGAGGTGGCTTCTTTTCCTGTGGTCACACAGCAACCCTCTTGAGGAAACTGAGGTACCACCTGTGGGAATATCTCTGGAGTTGACTTGCTCTCTGTTGTAATGGGGTGTGTGGCTGGAGGAAGGAGCAGCTCTAGGGAGGGGCTGCTTCAAAATCAGACTGGGTACCTGGGTGAGGTTGAAGGAACAAGGCTCCAGAGAGGGTGCTGGGCTGCTCTAGGCCTGGTACGCTGTGCTGGCTGGGCTGACTGGCTGGTGGCCCCTTCTCCAGGACCTTAGGGAAGGAACAGGAGACTATGGAGTTGGGATGGACATACAATGCATGGGTGGTGGCTGGGAGCAACCAGGCCTTGTCTAACCCGTTTTCCTGCTCTCAGCGCCCGTCAAGACTCCTGCCCACCTGAGTGCCAGGGACAGGGAGGGGCCCGAGTGACCCATTACTCCCATGGGAACCAAGTGGGACTGGTGGCATTCCTGATGACTCAAGAAGGCTGTGCCCGTTCTTACTGGAGAGGCCAGCCATCAGCTGTTACCCATCTGCCTCATTGCTAGTCCCGAGGAGGGGGCAACACAAATATACCCCATGAGGTTGGGCAATGTCAGGGAGGACCCTCTGGGCTCATCCAATGAAGAGGTCCCCAAGCTCATTTCCCTGATGTGTCTGATTGCTGTTTGTGGGACTGGGTAGTGCCTGGTGACGCGGAGAGCCAGTTCCTCCCCCCAGGGAGTTCCCAGGGACCCCAGTGGGTCATCGTGTCACCAGGTGACACTGTCACCAGGTGACACACTGTACTTCCATATCACTGCCAGCATGCATGCATGCTTGCCCTGAGAAGTTAAAGGAAAGTTCTACCAGCCCCTGCACACTTCTGCATCGAGGTACCTCTGTCGTCCCATGCCACTCCGTGTTACCACCCAGGATGGTCAGGCCAACACTTAGATGGGGACTAACAGGCAGAGAGGGCTTCTCTGTCCTAGAAACTCCTCTGGAAAGTGACAGACACAGTCTGTCCTATGCTCTCAATACTGTCTAGCATTATCACCTTGTGTGTGTGTGGGGGGGGTTGCAGTGGCATCTAGGTGGAGAAAGGCAGTGTGAAATGAGACAGAAATCTTAGCATGATGACAGGTAGGGCCTTGATGCTCACCTCTTCGGTTCCCTGACCTGTGTCAAGTTATTGGGGGCTTAATTGTCCGTGGTCTCAGGGTGGAGCTAAGAGGGACTCAAAAGCACAAAGATAGAGGTCCTGTCAGGTAGGGAATACAGGGGGAAGCTCTGAGATCGTTGGGGCCAGCTACTACTGGCATAGGCTCAGCACACATGCAATCTAGCTTTTGTGAGTATCTGCCGCCTATGAGTGGGCGGTGGACATTTTTGTGTTTGTGCCATAGAACTTGTGCATGTATGTGCATGAAGCTGCCATACATGCGTGTATGAGGGCAAGTCCTGTCGGACTGGCCTGGGTGGTGGACCTGCAGCAGCAAGAAGGCATTCTGGGAGAATCGATGAGAGGGCTTGTGTTCCAAGGAAGGGAGGGGGTCTCTCTACTTTCACCCTTTGCTTCCATTCCTCGGGCCTGGTGTATTATGGGGAGTGGACTGAGGAAATCCGGGCCTGGGTCTGAGAGTCGTTGGGGCCTGCGCTGTTTCTGTGGCAACCACAGCTAGGTTCCTTCTTTGCTCCGGCCCCCCACTCCCCCCACCCCTTCCTTAGGAGGTAGGCCAGTCTTCCTTGTGCCTTTGCTGCCCTCTGGTGGCCACCAGAAGAAAGACAGGCCAGAAAGGAGAGGACACAGTAAGGGGACTTGCACACTGGACACGGGACAGAAAAGGGCTGATAACAGATTGTAGGAAAAGCCAAGAGTCTGGGAAGTGAATTCTTAGGGTTTTTATGAATACATACATACATACATACATATCCTAATTAAGGTCTGCAAAGTAGTGGGGCATGGGAAGCCTTAGAGCATTGGGGCTTCTTCTTTGACCCGCTGCATTTGTCCACAGCCTTCGGCGAGAGGGCTACACGGTGCAGGTGAACGTAAACGACTATCTCGATATTTACTGCCCGCACTACAACAGCTCAGGGCCTGGTGGCGGGGCGGAGCAGTACGTGCTGTACATGGTGAACCTGAGTGGCTACCGCACCTGCAACGCCAGCCAAGGCTCCAAGCGCTGGGAATGCAACCGGCAGCATGCCTCGCACAGTCCCATCAAGTTCTCCGAGAAGTTCCAGCGCTACAGCGCCTTCTCGCTGGGATATGAATTCCATGCCGGCCAAGAATACTACTATATCTGTGAGTGCCGGGTTCTCTGTCTTTTGAGTGACAGGATAGGGTCCCGGGTATCCCCGGCCAGGTCACCAAGGATAAGGCTTCAGAGTTTCATCTCTAAGGGGTTGTGAGAATGGGACAGAGGGGTTGGTGACAGCCGCAAATTTGAGCCTCAGAGCATTTCTGTTACGAGCATTTTGAGTTGGACTGGCTACAGAGCCATGGTGACCACTGTCCAAAGAATGGAGCAGTTACTCCAGGACATAGCAGCGGATGCGGGCAGTTTGGCGCGGGGTGAGAGTCTATGGGTAAGGTCTCAAGGGAACCAAGTGAGTAAAAGCAACTCAGGCCCGGTCTCCTCCCCAGCCACGCCCACTCACAACCTGCACTGGAAGTGTCTGAGGATGAAGGTGTTCGTCTGCTGCGCCTCCAGTGAGTAACGTAGGCTTCCAGCCACGTCTGCATCCTCGCCTCCCTGCTTTGGAGCTCCCTTGGCTTCCTGGGGATGGGGGCGGAGGGCACAGGCGACCGGGATTAGCTCCCCAGCTGTAGCAGGGGGAGGGGGTCCTGGCCCTGACTTTCCCCTCCTCTCTCCCCACCCGCACCCCACCCCGCAGCATCGCACTCCGGGGAGAAGCCGGTCCCCACTCTCCCCCAGTTCACCATGGGCCCCAATGTGAAGATCAACGTGTTGGGTGAGTCTGCGCAGCGCCCTCTGGTGGCCACTGCCGGAACCGCAGCCCCCTTCCTGGTGCCTGCTTTTTTCGCATGCCTTCCCTTGGGACACCAGTCCTTCCTGCCCCTCCAGCCCCCATGGGTGGTCACATCCCTGGCTCCACTGCTGCTGCTGCCGCCGCCGCCGCGTGCCCCCCGCCCCAGCGCACAGCCCAGCTCTTACCAGTCTGTCAATTTCTATTTCCACAGAAGACTTTGAGGGAGAGAGTCCCCAGGTGCCCAAGCTTGAAAAGAGCATCAGCGGAACCAGCCCCAAGCGGGAACACCTGCCTCTGGCCGTGGGCCTCGCCTTCTTCCTCCTGACACTCTTGGCCTCCTAGCTCTGCTCTTCCTATGACAGAGAGGTGGGGCAGGGCTGAGAAGGAGCAGGGAGTCAGCTGTGGGGCCTACATCCTTCTTTCCATGGTTGGGAGTGGGGTCTGCGCTGTACCTCTGTCAGTGCCTGCACTGCGCTGTAGCTCTGTCAGTGCCTGCCCTCTTTGCCCACTCTCTCTAGGGCAGGCACTGTAGTGGATTAGGCACAGGGACAGCCACAGCTCCCAGGTGGCCTGTGGCTTTGGTAATGTTCGGTACCAAACCTGGGGCCTTTAAAAGGCAGTGCTCAGGACTCCCTGCCCCTCGGTACCTTTCCCTGACCCCGGTGCCCTCCCTCTTTGTCCCCCAAGAGGCACACGTGCCCCAGAGAGACCACATGAATCATGGGAGGTGCCCCCTGTCACTCTCCTCCGGGGTAGAGCATAGGGAAGGGACTAGATGGGTGAGGGTGAGAGCCTCAGGCTTGCCCCCTTCCCCTGTTTACAGCAATAAGCATCTTTTCCCTCCACTCCCACAAAGAGGACTGTGGTTTGGATTGAATCCAAGTTTACAAATAGACACCCCTGGGGGGAACAGGCCGTGGACAGGGGTGGGCATTGGGGTGCCAGACAGGCATGTACAGACACTATATCTCTATATATAATGTACAGACAGAGTCCCTTTCCTCCTTGACCTTTCTTGACTCCCTCTTCCAGATTCAGACCCCTTCCCCCCAGGTTAGGCCCCCCTTGGGGTCCCCCTGGCCCCTCTTTTGTCTTCTGTGAAGACAGGACCTATGCAACGCACAGACACTTTTGGAGACCGTAACAACAATGCCCCCTCCCTTCCAGCCCTGAGCCGGGATCCAACTCCCAGGACCTTGCCCTGCCCACCCATGTGGTCCCCTCCCATCCTGGGCCTTTTTCAAGTGCTTTGGCTGTGACTTTCATACTCTGCTCTTAGTCTAAAAAAATAAACTGGAGATAAAAATAACTGAGTGTGTGTGGTTTCAAGGGCTCATGTCCCTCTGTCTCACTGGTGGAACCCTATAGGGCTCAGGTCCTAGGTGAGCAGGGCATTCTGGCTCAGAGTCCATGGAGTACCTGGCCCTAGGGTCCAGCTCTGTGTAGAGAGAGGGACAGAGCTTCAAGCTGAGCCTGGGTGACTTTGGCAGATTCCTTAACCTTTCTAGGCTCAGGCTTTCCACAGGGAAAATGGCTTGAGTACCCATTTCCCAGGGCCCGTGTATGGGAGTTAAGGCTCAGGCTGGTGTTCTTGATGCTGTAGTCAGAGGCTTTTGGCTGGGTCCAAGGATTTCAGGGGATTTGTGAACCTAGATAGGGAAAAAAAAATGACATCCTTATTTTCACTCACCTGTGACAAATTTAGCCTCCCTGTGTACTTGGGCAACAGGCCACAATAGCGTTAACAGTACCTGTGACTTTGTAGCCGACAGAAATCCGGGATGTTTTCAAACTGCTTTATATCTCAGAATACCATTTATTCCTCACTACTTTGAAATGATCATAGTTGTTAGACTTTCCTTGTTTTTAACATGTTAATAAAGAAACATATATATTACATACCAAAAAAATGTCTGCTAACTGTGTTTCAATATAACTGGGTTCCTTCATGACCCTTTGAGATTTTATTCATTTAAAAATATGTTTCCTGCTGGGGTCTGGGCTCCACATAGCACCCCGTGTCAGGAGAGCAGAAGGTTATGGGTGAAACATGGATGGGACAATCAAAGGGGCTTCTTGGGAACCAGGGCAGGGGCTTCCTCACACCAGGACTTCACCCCACGCTGGTTCTCTTATTGGCACCGAGCACAGGCTAGATCCCAGGCAAGCATCTGTCCTGTGTGCTCCTGTGGCTGTTAGTTGCATTATGACAGCTCTCACCAAGTATGGCGGTGTGTACCTGTAATCCCAGCACTCAGGGCTGAGTCAGGAAGATGGTTGCAAGTTCAAGGGCAGACTAGGCTTTGGAGTGAGACCCTATCTGAGAGTGTGATTATCGGGAAGTGTTTGCTATCCCCTAATGGAGATGCCAGGGGTCTCTAGAGAGCAGGCAGGGAATGAACCAGGGCCAGACAGTGGGCCACCCTGACACCACTATACCAAAAGACTGGGAAGGCTGGCTTAGCCATTCAATTTTCCATTCGGTCAGTCCATACTCAGCGAACGCCTGCCAAGTGCCAGACACTGGTGGGACAAATACAGCACAGTCCATACTCTCAGATACGTTGATTTCCCAGGAGTGGTGCACACCTGTAACCCTGGCACTTGACACACTGAGGTAAGAAGACTAAAAGTTCAATGGCTCTGCAATAAATCACTTGTGAAGGCCACACGACACGGATTTGATCCCCACAAGCCACATAAAGGCAGGAGGAGAGGGGATAGAGGGTTGGCTCAGTGGTTAAGAGAACTTGTTCTTTTGAAGGACCTTGGTTTAATTCCAGCACCCAGATCAAGGCTCAGCACTCCTCAGACACCAGGCATCCATGTGGTGTGCAGACAGACATACCTGCAGGCAAAGCACTCATACTTAAAAAGAGACTCTGAGCCCAACACAGTTTACTTTACTTGCCCGGCAGTGGTGACACACACCTTTAGTCCCAGCACTCAGGAGGCAGAGGCAGGTGGACCTCTGAGAGTTCAAGGTCAGCCTGGTCTACAGAGCGAGTACCAGGACAGCCAGGGCTACACAGAGAAACCCTGTCTCGGAAAAAAAAAAACAAAAAAACAAAGCAAAAACAAAAACAAAAAACAAAACAAACAAACAAACAAAAAAAACCAAAAGAAAAGAAAACAGAAAAGCAAAAACAGATTGGGCTGTAGACCATACTCTTAATTAGTGATTAATGGGAGAGGGCCCAGCCCATTGTAGAAGGGGCCATCCCTGGGTGGGGGGGGCTTGGGGCCTATAATAAAGCAGGCTGAGCAAGCTGTGATGAGGAATCCAATAAGAAGCACCCCTTTGTGGCTTCTGCATCAGCTCCTGCCTTCCAGGTTCCTGCCCTGTTTGAGCTCCTGACTTCTTCACTGATGGGCTAGAATGTGAAGTGTAAGCCAAATAAACTCTTCCCTTCCCAAAATGCTTTTGGTCATGGTGTTTCATCTCAGCAATGGTAACCCTCACTAGGACATGGCGTATGATCAAAAATCAGTAATACCCACACACAGGGCGAGGGGGATGCACAGTACAGTGTGGTTAAATGCCAGGGAAATCACACCTTTGCCTGGGTCGAAGGAAACCTGCTTCAGGAAGGGAGTACCCAATGCTGTCTCTATTAGGCAGAATTGGAGGCCTTGCTAGAGTAGAGATCATTCATGAGGCAACAGGACACAGCTACAGATCCCTGAAATTTCTAGGCCAGAAAAGGCTGGTAACTGGGATGGGGGTGTTTGTGACTTCAAAAATTTAGAATAATTGTCTTAGTCACGCTTGTGAAGAAACACCATGACCAAGGCAACACTTACAAAAGAAAACACTTAACTGGTGTGGTGCTTACAGTTTCAGAGGTTAGTCCCATCATCATCCTGCCTGGGAGCAGGGCAGCAGGCAGGCGTGGCTTAGATAACTAAGCACTACATCCCGAGGTACAGGCAGAAAAGGAGAGAGACGGGGCCTGGTGTGGGACTGTAAAACCTCAGAGCCCACCCACAGTGGCACACCTTCTAATCCTCCTAATCCTTTCAAACAGTTCCACGCCCTGGCAACTAAATATTCAAATACATGAGCTTGTGGGGGCCATTCTCATCCAAACCACACAGAGCTGGTAAGAGGGTAGAGGGGCTTGCCACCAAGCCTGCCGACTAAGTTCTGTCCCTGACTCACACCTGGTAGAAGGAGAGGACTGTGTTCTGGAAGCTGTCCTCTGACCACCAGCAACACCCTGGACAAAATTAGTACAAGAAAAACAGTCCTAACATTGGGCGGCCGTGGATTCAGGGGTGATGAAGTGAACAAATGTCGGCTTCCTCAGCACTGTGTGTGGCCTCCTCGGCCTTACTACTGCAATAACACACAAGTGTCTAAAAGGCTGTGTCCCTTGACTAGGGTCATACCGCCCGCCAGGTGGTAGAGCTGACAATCAAAGTGGGTCTCTAGAGCTAAGGATGGACCAGTGGTAGAATGCTTGCTTAGGATGCATGAGGTCCTGGGTTTGATACTCGGCATCACAAAACAACAGAAAGAAAAAGTGGTGTGACTGTCACTGCGCTCTGACTGCCTCTGTCACCACCTGGAGCCTTTCCCATAAATGTTCCCTCGAGCCCACCACAGTCGTTACCTCTCCCTCTTGTGAGCGGAAAGATTTATGAAGGCCTCAAGCCTGCACGAGCAGGGGCTCCAGACCCTTCATTTTTTACAGGTGGGTTAACTGGAGCTCAGAGACAGCAGTGGCTTAGCCCCAGGCACTCAGGAGTCTGTGTCAGAGCTGGGACCGGAACTCTGCACTGAGCCCTCTTCGTCTCTTCTTTCATATGTAGTCCTCAGAGGGGAAACACGCACAGTCAACAAGCAGTGAGTGACAAGGAGGCAGTGTCACTCCTTCAGAGAGGAGTCTTCCTTCCTCTGGCTTCGTCTCAGCAAGGACACCAAGAGGGTCCTGAGTGACTCTCCCCGATGCAAAAGTGCCACATCCCTCCCTCGGGTGCAGCAGGGGGTGGGGGTGGAGGCTCCCACAACCAACACCAAGCTGGCCATGGACTGGGAGGCTTGTTTCGAAGTAGCCATATCCTCTCCTTCTGAGTGAGACTTGCTCCAGCCAGCTATGCTCAGCTCCGGGCAGGGAATTAACCAGGCTGTTTGCAACACAGGCCTGGGATCTGAGCTGTTTGGGTGACCACTCAGAGCCTGAAGTTCTGCTCAATATCCACCAGGAGTCAACATTTAGACTGATGGGTCAGCCGTAGTATGTGCAGAGCTTGGGAAGTGTTTTGATGTTGTGTTTTTAGGGGTTCTTTTCCTTCTGTTTGTTTTTTATTTTGTTGTTGTTTATTTGCTTGTTTTAAGACAAGGGCTCTCAATGTAGTTCTGGCTGTCCTAGAGCTTGCTATGTAGACAGACTGGACTCACTGATCCACCTGCCTATGTCTCCCAAGTGCAGGATTAAAGGTGAGTGC